AATAGGCCTTGGGTTACTGCTGTCTTCCTCTTGTGAGATTAGAGGAGGTCAGAACATGTGGCCTCCTCGCCATTTTTGCAGCATCTCTAATAATATTGTCTCTAGAGACAAACCAAATTACTTAGTGAGTAAGGTTATTGACTCTGGAATCAGACAGCCTAGACCAGTTGTAGTTGGACAACACAGAACTGTGGTTCAAGTCTCTGACTCTTTCTTACTAACTCAGGGCAAGTGACAACCTCTCTGAGCTCCAGTTTTCTAATGAGTAAAATAGGGATAATGGTTGTTCATTTCTTATGACAAAGTGATGGAGCTTTGATGAGATTATGCATATAAAGCATTCAGCAAGTTCCTAGAACATGATAGATGCTCAACAGATACTCTGGCTTCTCCTTCTCTTCCCCTCTGTTTCCTCCTCTCCCTCTTTTTCTTCTCGTTATTTTTATTTTCTCCAATGAGTTTTTAGAGAAGGATAAAACTGGAGACGCTGACCTCAGGCCAGGTCTCCTCATTTCTGGTTTGGTTTTCATTACTAAGATTTTGTGATGTAGACTGTTGTCATAGATGTTGGCCGTCACTACTTAGCAACATTGATTTTATTTTTTTTCTTTTCTTCTCTGTTTTCTTGCAGGAAGGATCAGAATGTTCTCTCTCCTGTCAACTGCTGGAATCTCCTCTTAAACCAGGTGAAGCGCGAGAGCCGGGATCACACCACCCTAAGTGACATCTACCTGAATAATATCATTCCTCGATTTGTCCAAGTCAGCGAGGACTCAGGAAGACTCTTTAAAAAGGTATATATACATATTCCTAGGCAGAGCTTCTTGGGTGGAACAATGAAATAAGCTTGTAAATAAGAGAAAGGATATTTTATTAGTTCATTTAAAAGATGTTCAGCCTGGTCATTCCTCACCACATACTCATGGAGAAGAATAAATGAATTAGCACTCATTTCTTCCTTTTTGAGCTTAATTAATAGGAGCTCTGGGAAAAGGACTATTTGCAAGAAACAACCTCAGGGCTGGCAGCATAATTCATAATCTGCATATATTAATAATGACTGGTGGGTTTCAGTCAAGTGAAATGGGAAGCTATTGAGATTCAGGGGCCTTCAATGTCATTTCATGTTTTCTTCCAGTTTATTTAGCAAGTTCATGCATGTTTCTGGTTCAGTTCCCTTTATAGGTTCTCATCTTGGCCAAAGTAGACTCAAGAACTTGATTATTCTTTCTGGGTTCAGTAGTTTATCACAGTTTCTTGGGTGAAGGTTGAGTAATTTAACCAAGGAAAAACTCAAAAGTTGTAATAATCTTCAGGAATTTCTGCCTAATCCATCTTATCTGTTAGTGGTAGAACCAACCTCCTCGAGATCCAGGAACCTGTTTCCTAAACTCTCTCACCTTGAGCTCTTTGGTGAAATTATTTATTCTTAACATTTGGTAACAAATGGTAGCAAAGTCTCCCAACAATTGTACATGATATATTATGTCTAACATTCAAGATCTGACATCCCCACATGACTATTCAGAAGGCAAATAATCTTCTCATGAGTTAGAGGTAGAAAGAGGATACCATTGCCGTCGAATCGGATCCGACTCACAGCAACCCCTCCTTGGGTTTCTGAGGCAGTATCACTATAGAAGTAGATTGCCCAACCTTCCTTCCGAGGAGTGGCTGGTGGATTTGAACC